CAGGGCAAGGTTTTCCCGACCCGGCTGGCCTTCCATCTCCCTGGTGACTTTTCCACTGGGAACCTCGTTTTCCTCAGCAGGCCAAATGTGCCCAGGGTTTCTGGGCAGCTGAAGAAACGCCACCCAAAGCCAGGGGCCGGGGCCCCTCCTTGGCTGAGCCAAGGGCCTCTGAGCATCCTGGACCGGAAGCCTTTGGCAACTCTGTCCGCAGCTCCTCGTGGCTGCTTCCAAAATCTGGGCACCGAGCAAGATGGAGCACCTGCCAAGGACTGCATGCCACCCACCATGCGCTAACTTTGCCTCCACCCTGGCATCCCCTCTGCTGCCCCTTGCAGTTCCTGATGGCCAAAATATTTTCGGGGGAGGCAGGAGGAGGGGGAATTTCCTCCCTCCCCTTTCCAGGCAATGCCACGCAGTCTGTTTTCACTGGGAGGACCCAGCAAGGCGGCAGCGGCTCCCTTCCCTCCATTGGCCACTGCTGGAGAGCTGCATCTGGCTTCCACCTGTGGGGGGTGTTGGGCAGCATTGTAAGGTGGGCACGTGCCTCTCAGTCCGGGGCTGGTTGCAGAAAGGGGCAGTGATCCATGCCGGCCAGCGCTGCAGGGTGAGCCTGACAAGCCTGCTCGGTCTCACGTTTGGCCAGAGAGTGATCCCCTGGCCGTGCGATCGGTAGTCAGTGGGTCACATGGCATGACTTGACGGGTGTGGGCAAGTGACTGTGTCCTCCAAGATAAAGCAGGAGAAGGCAGAGCCGCCACCGGACGCAGGGGTTTAAGGGAGGAGAAGCAGAGGCGCTGCGTCAACAGTGGCACTTCCTCCTCCCCACTGTCTTTCAGGGAATAGGATCTGACTGTGCAACGTTTTCTGGTCAAGCAACTCTTGCCTGGTTGCTACATAAAGCAGTTGGTGCCCAACTGTCAGTGGTGAGCATCGCGGGTTCCTCCGCGGGTTCCCTCCCCTGCACAGGGCAGGGAAAGGTCACGGCCCAGCTTCAGTTTCCAGAGGGTTTTCTGCTGCTTCACGCTGTTCCTTGCTGTCCCACCTTCACTGGCCGGTTCCTGCAGTGTCCTTGAAGGCTGCGCTAAGCGCAGTTGGCTCTTGAAGTGGGTCTGGCGGGAGGGGCTCGGATCTGCCGCGCCATCACAGTCCCAGGCTGACTTCCAACCGCTGGTTGCTGTCTTGCCCAGGGAGAGGCTCTGTGGGCCTTTCAGGATGAGCCCTGCTCCTGGCATGGGAGGATGGTCGCGGCTGCCTAGCATGCTTTCCGACAGTGGCACGGCGGGTTCCTTAGGTCTGATGGATAAGCCTCCATTCCTGGTCTCAGTTCAGCGCCTGAGTTTAGTAGCCTGCCTGGGTGTCTGTAGGCTGGAAGAAGTTGGGCCGGACGGGGCTTTTGGACTGTGTTCTGAGCCTCCCTTTGCCCTGTGGTAAACCTCATCGGAAGACCACTGGAACCTGCTTCTTTTAATTCTGGCAGTATAGAAATTGAATGAATGAATGAATGAATGAATGAATGAATGAATGAAGCTAGTAAATAGTGAAGTAATATTTTATTACTTTAAAGTAATCTTCTACTTGGGCAAAATGAAAGAAGATTTAAATAAGTGGTATAGAATTTCTTTACGTGTTTGGGATAAGATAAACACAACTAAGATAGATTTAACTGTTTCTATTTTAAAAGCCTTTTTATTCCTTCCAACTGATTTATGTGAATTTATACAGTATTCTGAAACTTTCTAGCAGAAGCATTCTTCAGAATTCTCACTATGGAAATAGCCGTTGTCAAAGATGGATTTAATTTTCCATACTTTCAGGCACATCATTAGGCATTTATTTTTAGTATTAATTATTTTTAGCATTGATTTGGGGAATAAAAAAATCAAGAATTTACTGCAGTTGGTAGGTCATGGATCTAATGTTGACCCTTCCGCTTACATTCTTACGTTATACAGTAACATCGTCTAAAAATACCTCGTAGTTCTTGGCAGCGGTGGGGGGGAGGGCAGGGGGTATGCAGGGCCTTTCATGGTCTCCTTACTTTGGACTAGCTGATTTCTGAAGACACTGTTTTTAAAAACTTGGCTAGAACGTAAACCTGCATTCAGAGTGGTTCTTGGCATTTTATTCAGCTTCAGCGCTCAGCATCTGACTGTTTGGTGGTACAGTTGGAATTGCCTCCCACCGGAGCTGCACATTAGCCGGGGGTCTTTGACGAGTCCGCTGAGACTCTGAAGCTAGCAATGTACTTTTAGAAGATGTCGAAGGAAGGTGATAAAATCGAAATTAACTATTTATGTGACCCTTGGAACTGCAAGCTCATATGCCCCATTCTTGTAAGACACTGTGAGGATGCCCTAAAGGATGTACAATTAGTTCCATTTGACCCTAAAGTAACGCTGATACAAAGAACGCAGATAGCTGGACAGATAAGGATAGGTGAGCACCTCAGAGAACCTTTAACAAGTTGGCTCAGCCTCCTGCTGTGGGTGATGAACAGCTCCTCCTATTATTCTGTTCTTTCTCTGGGGTTGAAATCCTCCAGAGGGTTAACAGGGCTTGAAACCAGCCATTGTGAGTTGAGGTTGGATATGTCCTCGTTGTACGTCCTTGGTCTTTGGAATGTATGAACTGTAGACTTTTCACATACGGCAGATTGCCAAAAGAATTATGCAACACTGGAAAGATAAATTTGCACCTGGCCTTCAGTGGGAACTATTGATACACGTTGTATGTCAGTGCCCTTGGCTCCAGAACGTGGGACACAGCATGATGGATTTTTCTTTAGGAAGGCAGGTTCCAAATCAATGGTAGGAAAACTTCCTCGCAGGAACAGCGGCTTCAAGGGGAGCCAGTGACTGAGTTCCCCTTCATTGGAGGGGCTTAAGCAGAGGCTGGACAGGCCTCTCTCAGAAATGCTGTCCTTTAAATTCCTGCGCTGAGGGGATGGACTGGATGGTCTCAAGGACCATGTTCCACTCCAGGATTCTCTGGGTAGGTTTAAAGAAGAGGACTCTTTAGCAGTTCAGCAAAGGAAAAGGAAAGAAAAGTCATTCTGTGGATGAAATATTTCCAGTTCTTTTAAAATACTGATGGTATGTCACATTGTTAATACTGTCAGATGTATATTTTCCTTGTCAATTTGTATTAAAAAACCCACAAATCTTTAAGCAGGCTTTTGGGGCAGGGATGTGTGGGCAGCAAGCGGGAAGGAGACTCAGTCCACCGAAGAAAAGGCAGAGAGGGGAATAGGGTGGGACAGATATGCGTGTTTCTATCCATCCATCACTGGTGCTCCCATTTTTATTAAGGAATTCATGACTGCTGTGCATTGGGGTGGCCCCAGACGCGCCACCGATTGAGACAGAGGGCCACGTGGTTCCAGGCCAGCGATGTGAGCCCCTGAGGCTGAAGGTTGCAGAAGGGCAGTTCGATGCACCCCAGACCGGTGGCCTAACTGGCCATTGGCTGCCTCTCGCTCAGCCCCAGAGAGATTCCAGGCTGGTGGACCGGCACCTTTTCTCAGGTGCCTCTGGTTCCTTTTCCCCAGTCCTGCCGGGAGGGAGAGCGTGGGGGGGACATCGCGGGGGAAGGCCAAGCAGTGTGCCAGGTGTGAGGAACTGCGATCCCAGGAGCCCCACCTTCTGTGAGTGAGGGGTACATGGGCAGATGCTCACCTCCTGGCCCGGAGTGGCGTCGTCAGTCCCTTTTCCCTACACCTGCTGCTGGCGAGTGGGGCTGGACTGGCATCTGGGTGAGCAGCCCCCCGCCTCTTCCCCTCTGTCCTAACCTGGAGCAGGCAGGGCCAGGCACCCCACCCCACTCTCAAGCCGCCTGCTCCACGCAGCCAGTCGGCCAAGTGGCGGCAGACAGGCGGCCGCGTGACCGGACCTCCCAGGTGAACCATGTCTGCCTCCTTTGGAGGACCAGGTGCTCTCCCAGTGACGCATCTCTCTCTCTGGCCCCAGGAGCCCCAGCGGAGCCTGCACGTGGCGGGGGCAGCTGACAGGATGCCACTGTTCGCGCCATCTTCGGGCAGGAAGACCTCGAAGGGTAAGTGAGCATTGCTGGGCCTTGACTGCTGCCTTCACCTTCTTGGGGGGCGAGGGGGGCCTGGAACACCCCAGCCTAGCCGAAGGACCGTGTGTGTGCAGAGACCCAGAGAAAGGGAGAGGGAGCCACGTGCTCAGGGAGCCTAGTCCACCGGGCGCTGCTTTCCCACACCGCTGTTGGAGAGAGACCAGCTTCCGGCACAAAGGAAACAAGCAGGGAAAGCATGTGTGTCTGTGTGGGTGTGCACGTGTGCGTTCACACATGCAGAGTATTGTTCTTTCTCTGAAGGCATCACAGCATTGCCCTGGATTTTGCCCTCTTCGTCAGGCTGCGGGGCTTCTCCTCCCCAGGTTAAATTCTCCCCTTTCCTTCCGTCCTCCCCCTTCTCCGGAAGCTCAGACCCAGGTCCTTCCCCTTTAAGTGTGGCTTCTGGAACACGCAGCGTGGCATAGCCCCCTGTGCGCGTAGGTGATGGGGGGATCACGGGCACTTGTAGTCCTGTAAGGCAAGACCGGGAGGGGTTGGGTTTGCAGGATCCACTGAGCTCTGGGGTCTGCTCAGTGGGGCCTGGAGCAGAAGACTCAGGAGTCCTGATGGTTGGGCCAGGATGAAGCCTCACAGAGCACGTGGGTCTGGTGTGCCGCGCCCAGAGCAGAGCAACGCCCCTGCAGCTGCCAGGTTCACTTGCTCCGTGCCGTGAGTGCTACCGGAGAATGGCGACCTGAGCTCACACTGACCACTGCGAGAGTCCCAGGCCCTCCAGGCGGCTGATGCAAGGCTTGCCCAATTGCAAAACCTGAGATGCAAACCTGAGGGGCTTCCTGCTGCTGCCGCCGCTGCCGCTGCTCTGTTTAAAGTCATCCAGAGGCTCCCCAGAGGATTCCGCTCACCCTGCTGCTGTCCTGGCCCAACGTCCTGGGAAGCAGAAATGTCCCGATGACTTTTCCATGTCCTTCCTGGCGGTGCTGTGTCAAGGCTGCCCAGAGGGATGGAAGGGGCCATCCTGGGCCCCTCTACAAGCATGAGCTGGGGGTCCCTCTACCCCTCCAATCGGGGGTACCAAAAACGGGAGGCAGACAGGGCTGTGGCCCTCCCTGCTCTTCTCCTCCCATCCATAGTCGCCTTTTACAGAGTGAAGACTCTTCTTCTGGCAGGAGGAAGCTGCCCACAAGCAGGACACCCTGCCAAGAGGAAGCCGCCCCACGCCATCCCCCCCGAAGACCCGTTGCCCCCTGAGGTTCTTCTGGAGCGGGAGCCGAGCTAGTGGTCTTACGCGGTTCCTCGGCTTCGCAAGGCCACCCCGCTGGGGCATGAGGCTGGCGCTCTGGTGGACGTCCTTCTCAGCCTGCTGCGGGCCGCCTCACGTCCTGGCAGTCTTTGTGAGGCCGAAGCCTCACGTTTCTGACCTCTTGCTTCGGCTGGTGAGGAAAAGCCACTCTGAATTTTGGAAGCCGTGCTGTGACCAGAGGGACGGTCTCCAGTAGCTAAAGGCCTTGGCATTTATGGGAGTTGTTTAACCGGGCAGCCACTTGCTGCCACCAGCTCAAACTCCTGCAAGTGCCAGGGAAGCAGGGGCCCGGCAGAACCCCCCCCCCCGCTGGTCCTGCAGAGGGAGGGTTCCTGCAGTGCGGGCGCTGGGGGCGCTGCATTAGTTGATCTGGCCTTCAGTGGGTCTTCCCTCAAGAGCCCCACCCCCATAGAGCACCTGGTTCGGTGATGTTGTTTCGTTTCTTGTTTTTGCACATCTCTATCAAAATGCATGGATCGTGGTGGGACAACTAGTAAGTGGGATTTGTGTGTGTGTGCGCGCGCACGCATGAAGGGAGCATGAAGAGTGTCCTGTCAGATCATGACCCGATGCACTGAAAAGAGATTGGTGAACCCCTCCCCACCCGCCAGCACTTGAGGCGGCTGGGTGGGGCGGGCCCCCCGTGTGGCCGTGCTCTCTGTCTTGCGGGAAGATTGGGCCCCACCCATGAGTCTTGTGTCAGCGAAGACTAAGAGCGCTGCCACGCGGGGTCTGATGCATTGCAATGCAGGGGTAAAGCCTCAACAACGGGTGGCCAAGCGAACGCCCTGAAAGCCTCTTCGGGGGCCAAGGCCACAGCCCCAAATTTCTTGACTGCAGCCGGCCCTCCTCCCTCTCGGCTCCTTCTGCATCGGGGGTTTTCTGCCCCTGCTCCAGCCCGCCCGGCCTGCGTGGGGGGGGCAGGAAAGGGAGAGGGCGGCTGGAGCCAGGACAGGCTTCAGGGCCCCAGAGAGGAAGTTGTGAGTCGGGTGGCTTCAGGGCTCCCTGGGCGCTGGTGTAAAGCAGCCACTGCTTTATTTATTTATACTTCAAATTTGTCACCGCCCGTCTCCCCACTTTCCCCGCCTCTCCCATGTGCCCAGGGATCCTTCGCTCGTATTCCTGGAAGATCCCAGGTTCCTTGACTTCCTGCAGCACAAGCCAACGCGAAATTTCCCCTCTGGGTTTGGCTGCTTCACATAAGCGGCAGAGACGGATGATGGGACGTAACGCCTCCGCCCAGGTGTGCTGCTCGTTTTTGGGCGCTAGTCTTGTTTTCTGAAAGGGGCACGACCAGAAGCCACATTCCAGCCTAAAGGTCTGGCGTGTGGTTCAGAACTGGGCGAGCCGTGCAGCCCAACCTCCGGGGAAGCGGATTTCTTTGATAACTAAACCATTGGCGGAAATCGCCGGCTTGTGTGACCCGGGGGCCACTGTGAGGAGGGCATTCCCCCCTCGGGGGCCTTTGGGGCCCGGCGGGCCCGCCACCCGCCCTCCGTCTCCCGGCCGATCATCCTTTCCCTCCAACTGTCACCAACCGACTCTTCCCTGCCTCGGACTCTCCGCAGCATTCCAGGCCCCAGCCCCTCGCCACTTCTCTGGCCGCCAGAGTGTGGGCACAGCGCCCGACCCTTCCGCCTGCCCGCTCCTGGGCTGCACCAGCCGGCTGCTGTGCTCCTCCGACCATGCGTTCCCTCCGTGCAAGGGCTCGACTGCCTGGGGCAGGCTGGGCATGACCGCCCCGGAGGGTCCCTGGTCGGGAAGACTGAGCGTGGGCCCAAGAAGCGGTGAGCAGAGGGCCCGGAAGGGGAGGCAGGGGTCGCTAAGGGGAGGGAGGCCCCGTTCTGTCCCCCGGACAGAACCCTCCTTGAGCCCTCGCTTGTCTAGAGGGAGGGATGGGCCCCAGGGAGAGGGGAGGGGGGAATAAGGCTGCCAGACTGCCCTTCCCAGCTGACCTCTGCTGCCGGAGGAGGCTGGAGCTTAGCAGACGGGAATCTGGACCCGCAGCCCCATCGTGACACCCTCTGGGGTGCGGCTCTTGCATTTGGAGCCCATCTGGGAAGGGAGCTCTGGGCTCCCTGGGGAGAAGGCGGCCGTGGTCCTCCTCCAGAAGGGTCCCCACTGGGGCCAGAGCAGGACGTGGCCCTGGCGCTAGGCGGCTCCCAGTTCAAGCTGGAGCGGAGGAGACCCCCGGAAAGGCTTCCAGCGCAGCCCCCCCAGCCACTGGGAGCCAGCAGGGGGGCCTCCCCGCTTCCCCCTCTGGCCGCCTCAGCCCGCCCGCCTTCCTCCAAAGGCCTTGTTGCTTTGCCATGGCGACGGGCGATTGTGTTGATTCCCAAATTTAGAGCAGAGGGCTGGGAGGCTTCCTGCTGCTCGCCCCGCGGCGCCAGCCGAAGCAGCCTCCCGGTTTCCTGCTTTCCGTCCCTCCGGCTCGGTGGCTGGAAAGGGTGACCCGAGCCAGCGACTTACTGG